TGTAGTTGTACTTTATAGTTGACGGCAAGAGAATAAGAGTACACTGTACTTTGTAGGTTGGTCTGAACTTATGGCTTTTGGTGGTACGTTTCTGGTGAGAGTGCCAAGTAACTAGAGAACAACCTTGTGTAGCAGTGGGTTTTCAAGTCAAGTGCTAGCAACTGACTTGTCTGATGGGTCTGGACCTTTTGGAGTAGTCGTAAGCTGGGTATCCAAGTTCAGCGCGGGTTCTATTCCCGGTGCCCTGGGAGTCAGTCTGAAAAAGTGACAGTGATACCTTTGTCAACAGGAAGTCACCTTGCAACTAATGCAAGGTAGCACATTCAGTAGACCTGTATGTAACATGACATAACATTCTGGTTTCTGGTTTCCAATACTATAATTCACTTAATCTTTACAGTAGCAAAAGTTTTTGGTCTGAGAAAAATGGAGATGTTCACTGAACCATATGTTCACAGTGGTGGCAGGTGCAGGAAAAAGTTGGTGAATTGTTTGTCAATGGTAATGATATTAGTTAGCAGTACACAGAAGTGTGGCCTTGAAAACTGCGAACATAAAAGTACATGCACCGTGAAAAAATCAGAAAGTACAGTATCCTAGCTAGCAGATGTGTAAATGATCTTACATAGGGAGAGTAGGCATACATGTTGTATGGTTAATTTTGGAACTGTACAATTGATATAGAGGTCACGGCATCAAATTTAAAACAATACACACAACGGATAACTTTTGCAAAAACACCACCTGTTCAGCTACTGGATGTTAGCCTTGGCAACACGTCCAAAATGACCTTTGTCTGTAGACATGTGATAAATATATTGTCACCGTGAAAGAACTGTCTGCATCCAATGGCACCTGCAAGTTCAAATTATACATTTTGATCAATAGATTTTTGGTGTACATTATTTTGAAGGTTGAGTTTTGTCTCCAAAGAGATGAAATATTTGAGACTTACCTTGGCATATACATTGCACTGTAAATCACTTTATATTTACAGTAGCAAAAGTTCGCTATCTGAGAAAAATGGACATATGTTCACGGTAGCTACAGGTGCAGAAGAAAGAAAGTCGGCGAATTATTTGTTCACAATATAGAAGTGATGGTGAAGATCTAGAACCGCAAACATAAAAGTACTGCGGATATAAGGTGATTTACAGTAATGGGAATACGTTTTAGAAGGACCATGGAACATCCTTTGTAGGACTGAGTCTACATACATTTTGTAAACAGGAAATAGCTGGTTGGAATTATGATTCCGAGTTACGACCTTTCTGAGAACCCGAGAACCATTTCTCCCTAATCATGAGGAAGTGCAAGTCATTGTAGTGAAGAAATGTGAACATAGCAATCATTTATTGTGTTGAATGTTGAAAAGGATGTGTAGAAAGATAAATCGCTGAAGTGAAATGGAAAGTTTCATTTATGTTGTGATTCAACTTTTGCCTATTGCTTCCGAGCAATTTTCTAAGGTTGCAACAGTGGGTGATAGATATCCTCTTAGAATGAGTTAGATGACAGATGTTGTTACTGTATTTGTAATGTAGCATAGCTTTATGCAAGCCAGATGTGCCAGGCTGACTAGTTATGATGGAAGACCTACATGTAATGATGTCAATGAACTTTTCCTCTTGCCATGATTCTCCCGGGACCTTGGAACTAGTTTCTAAGATCCGCAAAACCTGTATCACCCAGTCTGGTGGTTGTAGCCACTCCCCAAAATGCGTCGCCACTGCTCTTGACCAACAAGAAGTTAGGAAAACATGCATATTAGGCAGATAGCGACAGTATTTAACTGGGAAGTGTTGAAGATTGAGTTGAGAGGGTGGAGAGAGAATCGGTCCTGGGGTTTTGTCTCTGGGTGCGGCTCTGGGCTTAGGCTCGGAGTCGCACCTAGGGTTTGTCGGAGTGTCTCGAACTATCAAAGCTCAGGTCAAGTTCAGGTATGGGTATTATTTCTATGTTATGCCTATGTATGTAATACATAACCTAAAATGCTGTAGGGTTTGTCTTCTACACTGTAGCCCTAAAGTGTATTGGAATAGAAGTTGTAGTTGTACTTTATAGTTGACGGCAAGAGAATAAGAGTACACTGTACTTTGTAGGTTGGTCTGAACTTATGGCTTTTGGTGGTACGTTTCTGGTGAGAGTGCCAAGTAACTAGAGAACAACCTTGTGTAACAGTGGGGTTTCAAGTCAAGTGCTAGCAACTGACTCGTCTGATGGGTCTGGACCTTTTGGAGTAGTCGTAAGCTGGGTATCCAAGTTCAACGCAGGTTCTATTCCCGGTGCCCTGGGAGTCAGGCGTTTTTCTGTTTCTATTCTTTCCTGTTTGTTTCACTTGGATGACTTTTTCTACTGCTGCTACTATTGTTAGCCAACAGGAGGGAAATACATTGACTCTGTAGTACCAGTAGCATTAAATGGCCAAGCCATGAATTTAATTTCAACATCTTATTGTACCTGGCAATAGCATAAATTTGAATTTTTATGATGACAACTTACATGTACATGCATGCTGAATGATCACTTAACCATGTACAGATAGAGAAATCTGCATTTATAATTTGCTACTCTTACCTGTATTACTAGGCAGGGCTCAAAATACTGGGTGCATGTGCACCTTAGTGCACCCCAAATTGGAGCTGAGCACCCAATTTTTTTCTGCCAGTGCACCCAAATATTTTTGTAGGTATTTTTGTACATCATCAAATGTATAATAGTATATAGGATATTCTTGGCATCTAAGTGTCAGAAAAACAGTAAAATTTTGAAATTAGCTCCCATTTCAGATGCTTTGTTTTATATCTTCTCAAATATATATTCTATTTTGAGTTAATTTGTTTGCTTGTCCCTTAATACATTGCAAGTTAAATGTAAATGTAATAAATGTATGTTAATAAGAGATCGTAAAATTAATAGGATTTGGGAGAGTCCACTAGACAAACCTTCATGTTTCTTGGGCTCTCCAGCATATATTTGCTTGTATATAATTTTATTTTATACTGTTACTTTTTTATGTGCAAAATGACAATAAACAATAAAATAAACAAAAACAATATCGTGCACCCAAAAATTTTTTGGTGCACCCAATTTTTCAGGTTGGGTGCACCAGGGCACCTTTTCCCAAAAATGAATTTCGAGCCCTGCTAGAAATGTGCTGTCTCCATTGAGGCAATTATGTACATGTATATACTATGTTCATCACAAATTTCTCCCATACCACCCTGTCCACAGTTAAGGGAATGGTCGGGTATTGATTGGGTGGTATTTCTGTTTGATTCATAAGGCCTTGGTCTGCCTAAACTGGTTGTCATCGATTTGGGGTCCTGAGAAGCCTTCTCAGGACCCCAAATCGATCACAACCAGTTTAGGCAGACCGCGATCAAATTTCCACCCTGCCCTCTGACTCTTTCTGGTTACCCAGACTTCTCAGGAAATAAAAAGCCATTTAGATCGCCGGGTAGATTTTGCTTTGTCGGCAGCTTTCTGAATTTATGATAAGAATTCACAGTTGCATGCTTTTGTAAATGACGCTTGGCATTTTAGAAATATCAAAACATGTGTTGCATGTGGTCATGGATGAAATGCTATGAATATTTAAACTTCTTACCTTAAATACTACATGTGTCATATCGTATCAGTATGGTCTTTTTAG